CTTTTAAAGAGGGGACTCTGTGCCCCCAACACTCCCCTTAAATAAGGACTCCCAGCTTCTTTTATTCTTGTTAGTTCTAAGAACAGTTCTAGTACTGAGCAAAGAGATTAAGGATACTGCAGGGGGTGGGGAGAGGGAAAGGAAGATAGAAGAGTATCATTCCTGGAATTAGGAGCTCCCCCTCCACTGTTTATCTCCTCGGCACCACTCAGCTGTTCTCCGTTGCACAGAAATAAAAGTTTAGTTTAAGAAGTATGTTAGAACAAAGCTGTAGAAATTGCCTGGAATTTCCTTCATTTTCAGCCATCTGGCTTTCATTGCTGACTCTGTTCCCCTCCTCCACATACATTTACCAAATCTTTTCAACACACACTGGCCAAGCTATCAAATGCTTATAATTAATAACAGTCATACAATTTTTAAAAAAGTGGTGACTTCTGGCTTGCATTGCCTGCTCATGTCACTGCTATTATAAACCAGGGAGATAGTCATTTGTTTGTTAAGACTTAGCTGAAATATAATCAGATTTAACTCTTGAATTTAAAAATAGCATGCTTTCATTTAAATTACAACTATTATTTCTCAGCAAAACTAAAAGATGACAATGAATTTTTCTGAATGACTACTGTGATTCTGTTTTTGTTTTTCTTCATTATTAATTTTTGAGGCAGACTTGGGTGCTAAGGTACCTTAGGTGTGCCTGGAACTCATAACCCTCCTGATTCTATTTCCGAGTTCTGGGATTTGGGGCATGTGCTCTCATACCTGGCGAAGATGTGTACGTGTGTGTGTGTGTGTGTGTGTGTGTGTGTGTGTGCATCTAACAATAATAATTATAGAAGAAGAGGTCATGATTCCAGAGGAGGTGAGGGGACACGAGAAGAACTGGAGGGGGAAGGAAGGATAGAAATAATACGATTATGGTGTATTCGGCTATTAAATTCTTAAAGTATTTAAAAAAAAACTCACACAGCATTTGTTGCTCAGAAAGTTCCACTTTTCACTTAGCATTGCTCATTATAAAGCTCTCACATCCCTGGTACACTCAAAAAAACTAGCAAGTAGATCTAAGCCTCTTTGGTCACTTTTGGCTAACTTTTTAAAGGCTGTGGATGTTTTCAGATCTTCATTTTCATCTTTAAAATAGGATAACTTTTTAGAATGTTGGGTGTGGAAAGTCACAACTACAACCTCAGCTCCTGGTTACTGGGGCAAGACTCACAATCTACTGGGTCTAGTTAGTGTTGTTTGAACGTACATGTGTTTGGAACTGAGCACTCAGGATTGGAGAACCTATCAGGAGGTTCATCCCTAGAGAACACCGATTCTCTTCTCCCTCAATAGCCATTGATTGCCCATAGTTCTTCATCCAGGGGTAGGGCCTTACGAACCTTTCTCCCATACACAGTGGCATGTTGGCTGCTATGGCCAGGCTATATTCGGGCAACCATACCGTTCAGAGTTCATGACTACAGCATTGCTATCATGTCAAAGGCACTATCCCACAGTAGCTATTTTGATCCTCTGATCCTTCTACCTTCTTCTCCTTGATGTTCCCCTGAGTTTTAAGAATAGGTCTCTTCAGGAACGACTTACATAACTAGAACACCCAGAGAGAGCTTTTTTTTGTTTGTTTGTTTAATTGGGAACAGGAGACTGATTTCTTGACCCACAATGGGTCTTGGCTCCTTTTGAAAATCTTCCCTGAGCCAATCTCACCCACTGAGGACACACTGGGAAGGATGGTATAGCCTCCAAGACTCAAATTACCTGGTGTTAAATATGCACAAAGGAGTCCCCTTCTCCATGACAGTAACTCCCTTCCTATCAGCTTTGAAGAAAGTTTTCATTGGTGGTCTACAAGAGAGACTGGACTGCATCCAATGCTTTATGGCCAATTTTAGGGGAGGTTGCAAAGGAATGAATACTTTTCCTCCACAGTCTGATCCCCGCCCTTCCAGAATCAAACTTTCCATGGCCATCACTAACTATCAAACCTCTTTGCCCCTGTCCCCTCCATCGGTGTTCATCTTGTCTCCTTCCTTACTTTGAGTATCCTTTTCTGTGTACAAGTGATAACATAAATGCTATAAGCCTTTATATACATTTTATCTTGACAATTAAGGCCCCAAGTTTATGAGAAGGAGACTAAACTAACAATGGCATTTTAAACATCTCCTGGAAGACGGACGAGAGTCGATAGGATAGGAATAACGGTGAGGCCTTCCAGCTCTCATCCATAGCATTCACCAAACCTTCCTAATTACAAACATGGTTTCCAGGCGAGCAATCACCTGTCACCTGTTGATTTCTAGATCACTGAGATCCAGAGAGAAGGATCAAGACTTAAAGCTGAGAGCAAGGGCTTTAAAAAATCTAGCCCCTTCTGTAGAAACTTTTCTAAAAGTTATCTAAAGAAGGTAAACATTGTATCCATGCACACATATGCACCCAGACATACACACAAAGCTGGAAAAGCCAGAGAGTCCTTCCAGCCTGGGAATGTACCTCTCCTGCTGGGAGTGACAAGGCCTGAAAGCTACATGTGGGAATGCTGGTGAAAGTCAGACATGTGCCTCTGATACCAACTCAGCTTCACACAGAGGAAACCAGGAGGACCAAGTGTGGCCTCAGAAGCTGCTCCAGAAAGACAGAGGCCTTTGTCACTCTGGATGCTATAGCATTAGTCCCAGTGTACGACAGACTGCGGGCTTCCTCCCCAGCAGTCATCAGAACTGACACTCACTCAGGAGTTGTCCCCTCACAGATACCAAAAGTGAAGACTTGAAGAATTTCTGTATGTTGTATAGAAATGCTGGGGTTTTCTCCCCTGCCCCAAAACATGTGGAGTTCAGCAAAGGCCAAGAGAATAAAAGACTGTGCAGACAGTTTGTGCCCATCATAAGACACATTAGAGAGAGAGAGAGAGAGAGAGAGAGAGAGAGAGAGAGAGAGAGAGAGAGAGAGAGAGAGAACACTCAGAAGCCTGCTGAAGAATGGTGAACTAAAGATCTAAATAACCTCTGAATGGACTGAGGGTGGAAAGGGGAAGGGCACGTGGCTACATCTCTACCAAACATGTGTCTACATCTTATCCCGAAGGAGATCGGGAAGAGAGGCTTGCTCTGAAGGTACTACCCCAAAATAGTCCACAGGAGAATCAATTAAAAAGGACCACGGGTAAAGAAACCTTATCTGAATTAACCTTAGTTCTTTGAGAATGAGAAAGCATATTTGTGTCTTTTATTATTATTATTATTATTATAATTATTACTATTTTCTGGTCAGAGAAAGAGTGGATTCGGTGACTATACATGCCAGCAATTTTCACCCAGTCCAAGTACTGACTCCCTGGCTTTGCCTCAGCTCACCACACCACTGGAATGTGCTAAGAGGAGCAGGACATAAATGACAGCAGCTAACACCACCCAGAAGAGCTGGTAGCTGGGTGAAACTTTTGCCTGTAGAATAATGAATAGTCACGGGATATTTACACAGGGCATGGCAACCTCATGTTGTCTTGTCCAAGAATTTCTTTTTGTGGTCGGGGAACAGACAGAACAGTCACCATACAGCCATACAGCTAGTTGGTGGGAGGTAGGATGAGACCCAGGCCTATTGGCCTTCTGGCCAAAGTCCTTGCAAGACTTCTTTTAATACGGGGGATTGTCACTAGGTAGAGGAGTTTGTATTCTTTGTAAAGCCATAGGGTCACACACCCGAACAGCCAGGAGATTTAGATAGAGGAGGGACTAGCTGTGGCAGAGACACATGCATATAGCAGCCATGCCGTAAACTTGCCTGGGATTTCACAAACTGGATCTAGCTTCTCTTTTGTCTGCTTCTCTCTGTCCAGCCCTCAACTCTGTTTTCCTGGCTATTGTTCTGATGGGTGCGATGCTGTTCCAGGCAAGTGGCTGACGGTTGCCTTGGAGGATGTGGCACTGGTGACGCATGTTCACTTCTATATTTGAAGGTGAAAGCTCAGTCTTGCCATTCAGATCAATATGTGGAACAACTGTGGTGACCAGGAAGTCACCATGGGTCTGTGTCATGGGATTAGAGAAGGCCTGAATCTGTCTCTTTTAAGTCCCAACAAAACGAAACTACCAGAGCTGGCAAGAAAGAAGACAATCAGCACACAGGCTTTACCAGCAAACTACTGCTAGCACCTGAAAACAATATAATGACTCTTATATGATGTATTTTTCAGAGAAATGAGAAATATTCAGAAGCAGCATTCCTTTCATATCTAGGACATGACCTTATCCAGTAACATTCCTCAACGCAGCTGCAGATTTGCAAGTCTGGCTTTAGTTCCTCAAACATATCCCTTCCAAACCAGAATCATACAGGGGGTTTGCTCCAAAAAAAGTATCTAAAAGGCAAATTTCTCGAGACACCATAAAATTGTGTGGACCAAAGCAGTGATTGGATTGATTAGCGAAGACTCGAGGTTGGGCGATAATGAGACACAGGCAAGGCTGAACAATGAAATGCTCTAATTGATTTTCCGCATATGGAATGATACACACACGCCCCAGTGCATGCTAGAATGAATCTGCATGCTGTGTGCACACAGATTTCACAGTGGGTCAGTTATACCACCCAGATGCTTCAGTACCCTATACTCTGTAATTTGAAAGCCAGTTTATTACTATGGTGTGAGGGCTTGGGATACAGGCTAAAAGATCATGAAGTCTGTGGTCAGTTCATTTTCACTTTAGGGGAAAGCAACAGAATGCTACATGCACATAACAGCCATGCCATAAAAATTTGCTTAGTGCGTAGAGCCTCTGGACTATATGACCATTGATTGGGCTAGAATTCCGGGGTCCTGCTTTCAATTAAATTTAAGTGGATTTGACTAGAAGTTTGAACTGACGCTAATTGCTTTTCAAAACATTGGGTAACAATAAGTGTTCCTGTGTTGCCCGTAGAGAGATGCACCCAGCTCAGCATATGCTCATGGTTGGCAGTGGTGGCAACACATCCCTTACCTTGCTGGGCAAGGATCCAAATTGCAGGATTTCAGGAGCTGTGGGGGCCGCCGGCTGGTCACGCAAAGGTTCTCATCAGCAAGTTCCCGGGTCTGTTTGTTCAGGCAGCTCACCACAGCCTCCTGGACACCTGTGTACAAATCACACTGTCAGGCCAGAGTGCAGAGTGGGTGTTTGTTGGGGGTGATGAGGTGTAGACAGGCAGCTGGTGGGAGGCCTCTGATGGGTGGGACTCTCACTGCACATTAGAAGCTACAGTGGAAGCACAGCACTGCCAGTCTTGTTAAGCATCACTTGATCTAGGGCTGGGAGAGCAGCTCAGTGGTTGGGTGATGGCTTAGCACGAACAAGGCCCCGGGTTTGAACTCAGACGCCACAATATTTTAAACATAATTCTTCCACATCATGAGCCTGCGACCTCTTTCAGTCTACCTCTTTTTTTTTTTTTTTTGTTTTTTTCGAGACAGGGTTTCTCTGTGTAGCTTTGCACCTTTCCTGGGACTCACTTGGTAGCCCAGGCTGGCCTCGAACTCACAGAGATCCGCCTGGCTCTGCCTCCCGAGTGCTGGGATTAAAGGCATGCACCACCACCGCCCGGCCTCGGTCTACCTCTTGAGGAGGGTAACTTTCTGAAGACACAGGTGGCTGAAATGCTTTAACAATGCCGCCAGGCAGGTCCAGCCACTCTGGAAATCAATGTTGAGAATGCTAACAAAGCTAAAAATAAATCTGCCCCATGACCCAGCTGTACTACTTCTTAGCGTACACCAGAAGGACTTGACATCCTACTTCTTCACAGACACTTGCTTGCTCAGCCATGTTCATTGCTGCTCTATTTATAATACTAGGAAGGGGAAACAACCTAAATGTCCTTAATCAATGAACAAATAGTGAAAATACTGTAGTAACTATACAGTATAGAATACTATTCACTTGTAAAGAAAATCATGAACTTTGCAGGTAAATGGATAAAACTAGAAAGGATAATATTGATGAGGTAAACTTGACCCAGAAACGAATATAACATGTTCTCTCTCATCTGTAGTTACTGGTTCTAAACCTCCAGATGTGAGTTTATAATATGGAGTAACTGTAGGAACCAGGAAAGTGAAAAGACATCACTGCCAGAGTAGGGGGATGGGGGAAAAATAGAAGGGGGAATAGCAGGGTTCAAGTTATTTAAGGAGAATCTGGAAAAAATGGGGGGCTTTAATTAGGAAGGGGGAGATTAATATAGAAAAAGGAAGAAAGGGGGTAAAATAATAATAAAGATGTCTGAAAAAGTCATAAGGAATTGTTATTATCTACCTAAAAATTACATATAATACATATAAATGTGTATAAACATGTATAGTTTAAATGAAAAATTCTCATCTGGGCTGACAATGCTTCTCTCAAGATCCATAGACTATCTATAAAAATCCAAACACCAGGCATAAAGAAACCCCATTTTTGAATTGTTGGTCAGGGTTGTTCAAGAGACTCCCCAAATACAGGCTATTGCTGTTGCACTTGGTTGCCTCTGAGAGGTTGAAGAAACGTATAGTTTGGACACACGACTGAGATGACTGATCTGGTTCTGATCTAAAAGCCTTCTCCCTGAGGACTAGTTTTCATGGGAACAGAAGGTACCATGCAAGCTTCAAAGAGAAGGAAGGTACCAATGATCCTACTTAGCTATGATGTTCATGAACTAAAGGAATGACCAGCATAGCATGATAAGACAGAGTGCAGTGATGGCACACATCCTGTGGTGGTAACCAAGAGCTCTCAATGGACTTAAGGCCTGCTCACCATGAGTGCAATCATGCCCGGTACTGGAAAACCCAGTTAACTAGCCGGAGCTAGTGAAATCATGGATCTTGGTAGAGAACCCATTATTACAACTTTACCAAAACACATAATTCCTAACTACATTCTAAGTATTTATCCTTCTATCCACAGATAGATATAGGCCTCACCCATTATCAAAGAAATGACTCCATGCAATAGTCAGAGATCATCACAGAAAAACACAAAGAATCAAAATGCAGATAACAAGTGACTCTGTAGTGCCCAGCCCCAACTAAAACATCCATAACATATCTCTTGTACCTAAGGCTCAGGAATCATAGCAGGAAAGGGGATAAAAAGATTATAAAAGGCAGAGGAACAGTAAGTTTGCTGTGAGATATTGTCTCCTAGAAATATCAGAGAAACTACATCCATGAAGTCTTACCAACATGCCTAAACTTTACCTGAACAAGAATGGCATCAATAGACATTCTAATACGAAAGGAGGAAATCTGACAGGTCCTCAACCCTAGACAAAGAATTACAGGTAACTAAGGAATGACGAGAGCAAGAGGAAATAGTCTTCCCCAGGGAAGAGGCCCCAATGAACATTTACCAAGTGATATTCAGCCCTGAAATAAAAAAAAAACATACAAATTACTCTATATGGACTGAGCAGGTTATATTTATATATTTAGGAATACACACACACACACACACACACACACACACACACACACACACAATGTGTGTTAAAAAAATAAAGGGCATGAATTTGAGATAGAGCGAGGGAGGATACATGAAAAAGGTTGGAGGAAGGAAATGGAAGGGTAAATAATGTAATTATATTTTAATGTCAAAAAATACTTTAAAACTGCTACCAGGCTATATAGCCACGGTGGTAAAATGTGATACTTTAGTGCAGAAGGAGCAGAACAGAGGAACAGGGTAACCACTAACCAATCAACAAATAAAAAGAGAACCTTAGGGATCCAAGACACATTATATTTTAATGAAAGGGAGATTGCTGTGTTTAGAAGTGAGGTATGACGTCACATTTTAGTATCCAGCATTCTGTAGGCTGCTCTGTTCCTGACTGGCTTTGCCTTGATTCTGTTTGATTTCTTCAGTGACCTAGGGCAAAGTGAAAGTTGAACCAACCCATAAGATGCATAGTGACTATAACCATAGAAAACAATATCCCTAGAGACACCTGCACACCCTAGACAGTGCTAGTGTAGTGTTTTGAGCAGTGACTGACAAACTTGGTAGATAACTCTCATGGAGCACAGAAATACTTCAATGAGTCCATTGAGCAGACATTTTATTCTGTTACCAGAGTCATAACATCTAACATTTACACTGTCTGTTATGGCCCAGGTACTGTAGCTCAGTACCTAGCATACATCACTATGCTCTCTCTACAATTCTATGTGGCAAGCAGTATTTTAACCCAGTGTTACAGAAATGGAAACTGAAGCTTAGAAGCATGAAAAGACTTGCCCGAGGTCATGTGGTTGCTGAATGGTGGAGCTGAGTGTGTCTGAGGTTCTAAGAACTCACTGACAGCATTAACATTTAAAAATACCAAGAGGCTGTCATATCTGCTTCCCTGGAGGTTTTCAGAAATAACCCAGACATTTGTCTGGAATCATTTCAGCAGTGTTCAGTTTAAGGGAAGTGGTGAGATGAGACATTCTTGCTAATTTGCTTTCAGCCATATACAGTCATGTATGCAAAGATACCCACATCTAAAGATATTGATCTATGCTTAGAACTTTGTATGCAGTTATGGCTCTCTTCTGTATTGCCAAATTATATCTAACAGAGTACAAATACCTACTGCTTGTTAGTTCTCTTCTAATCTACCCTTGGTTTCTCCAAGTCTTTGAAGCAAGAGAATGTCCCCAATGTTAGACTGACCTAGGTCATCAAATAAGGGCATCATTTAAAAAAAAATGACATCATAAAACCAGAATACAAATTGATTTCCTTCCAAGACATTATTTTTGTCTTTAATAGATTGTAGTATTTGTCATGTGGCTGATATGGCAATTTTAGCATTTTATTTCTTTCTCCCTGAGCTTTTATAGCTTCCAAATTTTCTTTAATTTGGGTTGGCCAGTTCAGGGTAGAGCATTTAAGATTTATGGATATTCAAATCATTCTATCATATTCTGTAATGCCAACTGTGGGCAGATCTCCAAGTCTGGAAATTCACGGTATGACGACATAACAAAACACATCACAAGATATTGTTGCTACCATCTGTGATTTCCCATGGGGATGGTGTAGGGTTCTTAAAGCCATGATGACAAGCTACTGCATGCAGCTTCTGTTATGGTTTTAATCTGAGAGATCCCCTGAAGGCTCGTGAACCGGGAGTTCAGTTGCCAGCTGAAGGGAAAAGGATTGAGTCCTGAAGCTGCTACCAATGCTGTTGAAATACTTTAAAAATACCACCAAGCCATAGAGCCACCGATGCCAAAATGTGATAATTTAATGCAGAAGCAGTGCTGTCTGGCACAGTAACCAAGATCGAACAAATTATCTGATAGCCTATTATCCCAGAACCCAGGAAGGTGAGGCAGGAGGATTGCTCCTAGTGTGAGGCCAGACTGCTACAGAGTAGATTCACTGTGAGTTCTGGGCCAGGACCGGCAACAGAGTGTGAGACTCTGTCTCAAAAAGTAACAATCAAAAATCCGAACAACGTAATTGTTGTTAGATACCCTAGATAGTTTCATAGTATGATGGCCAGGTTTAGGGAGGAAAGTGAGTCACTGAGAGTGTGCCCTGATCTCTGTTCTCCCCGAAGATTTGAATACATTTTCTCTTCCACATGGTCCTGTAGCCATGATCTTCCACCTAACCACAGGCATATGGCAGTGAAGGATGCTAACTATGGACTGGAATTCCCTCAACTGTGGGCCAAAGTAAACTTTTCTCATTGAAAATGTTTCTCTCAGGTATATGTCACAGTGACAAAATCAACAACCACGCTACTGTCCTCTGCAGAATCTAGAGCTGTGTTATGCTAGAAGAGGTTTTCTAGATCGCACTCACAATGGCTTTCACAGGAAGCGAAACAACTAGAAATGATTCTAACTTAACAGGAGAACAACCCCTGCAAAGTAAAGATCCTAAGACCCTGGAAAAAGAAACTGAAAAAGCAACTGGAAGAGCCAAAGACTGCACATACTCTGGGGTAAACAGATTTAATGTTGTAAAAGTGGCTGTATTAAGGTGGTTTACAGAGTCAATGCAATTCCCATCAAAATTCCAATGACATTGTTCACAGAAGTAGAAAAGACAATCTGAGGAGTCATTTGCAAGCATCAAAGGCCTTAATGACTA